GGGAAGCCAAACGCCACGGCGCCAATCTCCGTGCTCCCAAAAGCAGTGGTCAGGCGGACGCCCCTGAAAGAAAGGAGAGCTTAGTAGTTAGAAATGACAGTTCCATTTTCTTCATCTTGTAGAAACGTCCTAAGTTCGGGAAATTCCAGGCGATCGGGAAAATCCTGGCGACCAGAAGCTGGCGATGCTGCGCAATCGCTCGCCTGCAAACAAAATAGCAGGGCGCAATTCAAACGAAGAAACATGTCCCCGTGTGAGAGGTGCTGGAGATTTTCACTTTGTCTGGATCTTCAGGACAGCCTACTCTCGTGGAGTCTTTGACGCTTCAAACGGGATAAGTACGTGTATTATGTACGGGCCAAAGCTTGTGAATCTGGCAGAAAAGACTTCAGAATATCGGACGTTGAACAACACTGTTTCAAAACAATAAGGATGGGTTTGTATTTTCTGACCCAAAGCTGGATCCCTCCAAGCATGTTACGCGCTGGCAAACCCGCTCTAGCCCGCTTTAAAAGTCAGGTCCAATGGTTCGGCATACATTAGATTCTGAAAGACGCTCAGTGTGTGCATACGAAGCAGGCTCCTTCAGATAAAGCGGGCTTGCGAAATTGACAGGGCGCCTTACTTTGAAACCAAGAACGACCCGGCCCACTCAGCCAGGGGCGCGCCCGCGTAGATAAGCGCGTGCAGTGTCAAGAGAGTTGTCAGCGTCTTGGATTCCCTGCAAGCACGGCAGAAAGGCTCAAGTTCAGCTGGCATATGTTTCCAGAAATTTAATCAATCAGGTGACGGCACTCGTTCTAAGCCAAGGGGAACTTCACGAGACTGTGACCCATCACAACCAGGGACTGATGGATCCATCACCATCTTTTCGTACGGTTTCTAAACCATCCATTACGGCCTTCATCGGAAAGGAGGACGTCCCCATCAACCCTGCTCCATTAGCCGGATGAGAAAAGAAGAGACCCTCCGGACTAGTAGGTGTAGAATTCTCGCAAATGAGCTTCAGCTTGGTTTCAGAATTTTGACTGAAAGTAAGAGCCCAGATTGGACAAACGGATCGGATTGAAGCAAAGTAACCGAGGCCAAGTGACAGAGGAGGTTAGCCTAACCCGTGCTATGCATCCTTCCACCTGACCCTGTGGTTAGTTACCGGGGTTAGGGGGGGTGCGGGTGCGAAGCGCGTGGACCTTTTGTCTTGGCTTTCTGGTTACGTCGGGGGCTTATGATTCTTCTGCTTATCATTCAATGGAGATCGAGAAGTTTCGACGTCCTGACCCGTGCTGTTCCTCCTCCCGCCTGATCATGTGGCACCACTGCTCGGCAATGATCGGGACTACGAACATGAGCTGCGACCCGCTGTCCACAATCGCTTGGAGGAGGCCCTCGGGGGACGGCGCGGCCGCGAACTGTATTTCAGGGTTTTAGGTATTTAGTAATCCTGAGGTATTAGGGATTAGGATTTTAGGGTTTTAAGGCCTAAGGGCTGTGGTGAATTGAGGTTTGAGACGACGTAGGACCTTTATCCATCGAGTGAAGAGATTGCGGGCTACGGTCGAGGACTAGTTTGCACGCTCAGCTGACGGATCCAGAGCATCGAAGCTCTGGGTGGTGCTGTTGTTCCTTCAAACGCAACACCTAAACGCTGCCGAAAAAGCCTGAAAGCGAGGAAAGATGCAGTACACAGAGCGAGCAGGGTTCCAGAGGCATCACCCCCCCAAAGATATCAAACGTCTTTTGCAAAGGACCTAAGGAAAGATAAGCAACCTTTGACCGATCCCGCGAGGGCTGTTTCTATTACTGAAAGCATCAAACTCTGTGGCCTTCGAAGGAATATCCCCTTCCACCTGCCAACGACTGCAATTCAAAGCTAGGAAAAATGACCGTGGCTGATCACTTTGGGTGGTTTCAAAGTCAGCACACAATGGGCATCAACCTCGTCGAAGCAGGGTTCTCAACAGCTCCAGACGTAAACTCTTTGGAAATGCTCAGAAGAGTGGAGCAACAGCGGTTTTAACGCACTTTCGCCGAGTAGTAGGGCGAGCCCGAGTAGATGGGCAGGCCGACTTCGATGATGAACCCGATCGCGTGGAAGAGGGGCATCCAGCCCAGCTGGGTAGGCAAAGTGCCCGGGGGAGCGTACGGGGGGTCCAGATCCTGCGCAGGGGGACGGGTAGTTTGGGTGCTAACCAGGCCAATAACCAGACTTGAGTCTCAGGCCTGGTCTCTTCAAAGAGTAAGCGGGCTTTGACCTGGTTATGAGGCCGGTCCCCGCCCAGGTCTGCTTATTGAAAGTGTTACCACTTCTCGACGAGCCCATAATCAGCACAGAAATATCCATGATTTACTTCTTGTGGGAGGCGGAGCACCTTGTGCAAGGATACACGGAAATACTCGCATTTTAGAGAATAAGCTGGGCGCCGAAAGAGAGAGGAAGAAAGCAGCACGGCATGCGTTCGAGGAGATTTTCGGCTGATCAAAGCAACTTGGGGGCGGCTGTAAGAACCGTGCTCCGGGTGAGTCGAGCCTTCTATCGGAAGCGGGTGTAGTCCTTGGAACTGCCTTACACGGAAGCAAGATCTGAGTCCCACCGTTCGAAAGGTAAAAGCTCCATTCTCGATTTCTTAAGGGCCTGCATGCTGAAAGCTGACCATCTCCAGAAAGTGTCGCTACAAACCCCAGTTGCTCCGAGGCGTAATACGAATCGCGGCCACGGAATACAAATCAGGACCTTGAATGGCCGATCTGCCATTGATTTCAAGACCGACTCCGTTTTCAAAGGTCCCCTTTTTAGAGACCACATGCGCTCTGAAGATTGACGCCGCTTTGAAGATCGATATCGACCGGAAAAGTCCCCTTCTCTAATCAGCGCTGGACTGACTGAAGCTCCCCTCCTAGCTGTATCTAAACGTGCTCTTCACAATTGGGTCATGGTTCGGAGTGACTTACGTGCATCATGCGTATCAGCTCGATCAGGCTGTCATGGTTACGGACGACCTGCTTGGGCAGCCCGGTTGTCCCCCCCGTGTGCATGATGACCGCCGGAGCAAAGGCCTGGGGCGCGGAAGAAACAATCGTGAGCATCTGTTTTTGGAGCTTCATGTCAGAGTATTCCTTGTCCCCTCTCCACTCTCCACTCTTTGAGGACGTCACGATTGCGGGCTTCCGTCACACTCCAAATTCCTGGGATTTCTGCACCGATTGCTACGGGATCGAAGACGAATGCCCGATAAATACAATTCTATCGAACTTCGAAGAAGAACAGATCGGACGTGACTGCCGCAAGTTGCCCCAGTCTCCCGGCACCAAAGCAGGCTTGGCCTCTGCCAAGTTCGACTCGGACTAGGCAGTGTTTTGCCTCTGCAGACCGTGCTAGAGACTTGGCGCTAGCAATGTAATCTTCGGACAAACTCAAGCCTTAGCTTCAAAAGGATCTGAAGGCAAGGGGCTCTGCTTGACCATCAGAAATGACCACCCATTGGGGCGACCACTTAACTCTTTCACTGCTTTTCTCAAACAACCACAGATTTTAGCGAATAACTACGCCGCTCTGCCGTGTTTGCCCACCTCTGAATAGTCCCGATCGTCCACTTCTACGGTGGCTACGTGGCTCTCTTTTGCACCGTTGCTTTGCGTCGGGTGGCCGTTCATCTCGCCATCCACGACTATCGTGAACATCGGAGGCAGGACACTCGAGCCAGAGGCGACCGCTCCTGCCAGCACCCCCATGTTCAGCCGCAGGAGCAACGGGCGGTCTGGGACATCAAGCGTCTGTAATGGGACAAATTGGCAGCTTGAAATGCAATATACCAGACGCTTGGTGCACAAGCAAACGGATGGTAAGAGCCGGCAAGAGCGCAATGTGACTGGTGCCATTCAATGGCCTCTCAAGGAAGCGCTAAACTCGAGTCTCAAGATGGGGATCTGGAGGTTCCTGTGTGCCTGAATCCGCCGTTTGCTACTTCAGTGATACTGCGATTGAATGCCAAAAGCTGCAGCTAAAGATCTGATGGGGCTAAGGTTCTCCAACCAACGTCCGTGTGATCCGAATGAAACCGCAAATGCTTTGCTGAGCTCACAAGAATTGCCCTACAGACGGTCTTTGATCAGTGTTTAAGGTCTGAGGCCTCACTTTGAGCACCCGCTTTGCCGCAGACTCGCACTCCTGCGAGACCAGCAGCACCGAAGGGGCAGACTGTGACACCAAGTGCTGCAAGGCGGGTGCTGATGTCAGCAATGATCTGAGAAAAGGATAGGACGCCCTGGAAGCCTCAGAGCCCAAGACCCTTGAATTCTTGAGACCTCAGTGTGCCGGACTTTTGCGTCAAAATTATCAGGATGCTACAGAGTAGTCAAAGCCAAACCGATTGTTTCCAGGATCATTAGAGCTAGTCCACAGCCCTGAGATCCCAAAAAACCAAAAGTTGGCGTCCCGCAAATTCAGATGCACGTGTCACGGCGAGCGCCCCTTCAGCGCACCTGCAGCGCTTCGTCTCCGACGCGCGTCGAGAGGTTGACAGTCATAGCCCCCTGCAGCCACGCCGCAAACGTGGCCACAATGTACTCTGGGGAGTTGCTTGCCAGAATGGCCATTCGGTCGCCCTTCCTGATGCGGCATGTGCCGCCCAAAGGAGTCGTCACCTGGACCAGTTGGGCCCGAGCCTGTGGGAGAGGAAGACAAGCCCATTAGCAAAAGCTACCAACGAAATGATCAGACAAAACTTACTTCAGTACAGAGCTATGCTTTGCTGACTTGAATTGATTTGGACACAGGAACTGGCCGGTGGGCAGATGACCAGGAGGGCTGGCAAAGAATGAAGAGGTGCTGTAATGTGGATCAGGACATGCAACATCGTAACTTGGTACTGAAGTGTAGAGCGCAGTAAAATATCTCGGACAAACAACAGTTGGACGCGAGTGAATGTGATGATTAAACAAACCTAACCACATAGTAAACACCTAAGAGGCATAAATGATGGAAAGTAAAGGAGGGCCCCAGCAGAGGTGGCAGTGGTGCGCGTGCTTTCTGGAAGCAAGCTTTGAAAGCAAATGCAATGATGTCTCTGGTTTCAAGAGCTACTCCATCTGCCCTCATCATAAAATGCAATGATGTTCAAGCCAGAGCTGCAAATAGCTAAGGATCCCACCTGAAAAGTCATTTGCTGAAACTGGCTGAAAGTAACCGTGTGGTACTTGAGCGCACCGTCCGCTGCCTGATTCTGTGAGATCCCATTGCTTTGTGCCTGCAAAAGGAGTTCATAAACATGGATAAGTTGGCGCGATGAACTACAGAGGCTGAACCTGAGGTGCTTCAACTGGTCTGAGACAAACACCAACATAAGCTAGGGTCCCGCTTCACGTGTTGGTCGGGGAACCATGGAGCTCATCCCGCTTGCATCAGCATTCTGCACATCAGCTTCTTGCATCGCTCAATGCGCGGGCCAAAACAACATTTGCAACAGCGTTGACCTGGGACAAGAAACTGCCAGAGCATGTGCGAGTGAGCCAGCCGGCCTGCAATTTGGTCATGATTCTCATACTTACTCGGGGCAGCAGCAGAAAGGGCTGGTCTCCTCTTTGTGCCGCTTGCAAGGCGAGCACCTTGGGGAGGGTCCTCGCAGCATGCCTGGGATCAGCCATATTGAGATGGCGATGCACGTTCAATTTAGAGTGTTTTTCTTAAGCGAGCGAAGGCGGCCCGGTGTCCCTTCAGCTGGATTAATGAAGTCGCTGTTGCTGATCAAAGCTCATTGCTCGCACACCTGACCAGCAGGCCTGCTTCTTGTGGACCAGTGGCAGCTGCCACAGACCTGGTGTCTTCACGACCACGTGATGTAGGTATGTATCAACGCGAGAGACCAGCTGAGCAGGTTTGGATCAAGTCTTTTGGGCGATGAGTGCTACACAAGGCGGACGTCTTTGGTCTGGGTTGGCACTGCCTGAGGCTGGAGTATCCTGTCATGACCTTGGAAGCAAAGTTGTCCGAAAGACAGCTCAATCAAGTCATTGCAAGTGGCTCGGCCCTGCCGCCTGCGTTCCATTGGACGTGGCCGGCATTAGCTAAAATCTGGGTCCATTTCCCGAGGCGGGAGGCTGTGACGTCGCGCTCCATCATTACAGAATCTCGTGCAATTATTGATCGTTCGATCACGTCCGGAAAATCTGATCCGTACAATTACGCGTCGCCGCATTAGAACGGGCCCCCGGCCATTCTATAGAGCCCGGGACTAGCTGCCGGGGCCTTTTAGCTGCTTATCCCAACTGAGACATGCATCCCGGGGAAGCGACCTTGCGCCCAGGGATGGTGCCAGCATTTTGAAATCGGACATCGGGTCGAGTCTCTGTCCAGTAGCTACGGGTATTACGGTACTTGCTACTAGGGTACTACCTAGCCAGTGACTAGCTACTGACTCGAGGCGTTCGTATACGAGTACGAAAGAGACCATATTCAGTTGGACCCAGTTTGCAGTTGTGAGCTTGTTAACCACCGCGTTTGCAGCTAGCAACTCTGATTGCTCCATCAGTTTAGTTAATGAAGAGGTCTGCAGCTTGCAGATCGAGCTCTGCATGATCGTACGACTCAGGACACTTTTGCTGCTTGCATACACGTCCTTCTTTCTCGGAAGTTTCCAATCGGATTTTAGAGCAGGCTGCAGGGGGATGAGGGGGCATGAAGTTTCCGACTTTATTTTGCGATACAGGCTAAGGTATAGTACTGCCGTTGATATCCTGTTCAAAATTGTCATCTTACTTTCGCTGCCAAGAATTCGAAGTAAAAGAAGCTTGAACATTCTTCTAATCATGTTTAATCTCGTGATTCATCAGCAGTCTACATTATAATTATATACATCGAGGATTTCCTGACTAACATCGAAATGCACGCGCTAACCAATATAATCTGCTAGGCGGTGCCCAGCTAAGCGCTCAATAAGGAACGCTCCACTCGACATTCCGTTGTTTTACTTCTTGACCCCCTCAATCACGTGTTGTAACGCCACGCTCGGGCAGGGGGTCATCCCCACGACTTCAAAGCCCCCCCCCTCGAGCAGATTCCGCCATTGCCGTTCCGTCCGCTCCTTGCCCCCCCCCAGGAGCGCCAGCATGTGCAAGTCAAACTCCTTGCTGTACAGGGTTTCTTTCCCGGTTTGCCCCGGGTTAGCCACAACCACTTCCACCACCAGAAGCTTCCCCCCGACCGGAAGAGCGTTGTGGCAGTTTCGCAGGAGCTTGATGCAGGCCTCATCGTCCCAGTCGTGGCAGATCATCTGAAGAAACCAGATGCCGATTTACGAGCTTGACAGGACAATTCTGAGCTTCGATAAGGCATTGAGGCATTGAGGCACTGAGGCCGTCAGGCACCAATCTGCACCAAGATTTCGAGTGCAGCCAGTGTCCTCGCTTTTCCGAGTACGAAAACCATTGGCACAACCTCGTTTTGACGAGCAATCGGCTGATAATCTCAACGAATCAACCCAATCAAATTCTCTGTAAAGTAACGGATTCAAACAGAACGAACGAGACCGACGGATCCAAGCGGCATCACCTTTGAATGCATCACAAGCGCAGCAACAGCCTGTGGCATATCGGGATAACAATCCCCCGGCCTGGCCGGGTTGGGCATGCGCAGTCTCAACTTCCCCTCACAGCAGCTCTTCCAGATCTGCCTCTCCAACTTTCTGCCGGACCGCTCACTTTCATGAAGATCGCGTCCGCCTTCGGGACCTCCTTAAACATGTCCCCCCCGACGAGCCGAACGTTGGGCTGCCGCACCACCCCCTCCTGCTTCAGTACGTGTGGCAAGTCGAAGACGACCCCCCCGTTTATGTTGGGGTTCTGCGCCAGGATCTTGGACAGCATGACCCCCCGGTTGCCGCCCACGTCGACGAGCGTACCGGTCAGGGACTTGAAACCGGCGTAATGCTCCAGCAAAGCGTGGCCCTGAGGGGAGAGAGGGTCGAGCACTGGGCAACTTCGTGATCAAGTGTCTATTGAGTCGAGTTGCCGTGAAAACGTTTGACGCGAACGTTGGATCGTGACCGATCGCCCTCGCCCTGCAGAATACGAAGCGTTCGCAACGTTCCTTTCTGGTGTGCTTGGCTTAGCTTGGAAGGAAAGTTTCAAACCTTCTGCAACGCTAGATATTTGGAAGTCGGATGATGCTGTTTCGAAAACAGTCATCCCACCACGAAAGGCAGCCGCTGCCCTCTTCCCCGTTATTTTCGTGATAGAATATGAACCAAGTGAGCTTCGCAGAAGAGAAACGATCTCCGTTTCGGTTTCAAGGTGGTCAGCAGCTTCTCACCTGAACGAGCGACCATGTCTGCATAGCGTCGTTGAACCACTTGGCGGACTCCTTGTGTTCCTGCAAGGGAACCGGCGACAACTTTAACCCAGATCTCAGCCCAGACACCTAGAAGAATCTGAGGCGAAACAATCTGCCCCATTCTGACGTGTTCCTACGAGCGAGGTCCAGCGGACCTCCTCTTGAGGACCAACCGAGCCTGTCGACAAGTGGCAGGCAGCTTGTTCCTGTTGGCTGTCGAAAGAAGGAGGGGCCCCTTTCATCGTTCAGTCAAGCACTTCAACCAGAGACGGAGTTACAAGCACAGGAACTCAGACCAGGTTTTGACGCTTGCTCTGCCAGATCCACCACAGCTGAGAAGAAGTAAAACATTAACGACGCACCTTGTAGTAGCCAAAGAAGCTTTTGCCCCCTGTGGCCAGCTCGAACGGGTACGTGCCCTCGTGGACTCCGTTCTGTATGGCTTCCGTCAACTTGTCCCATGCCAACCAGGAAGCGGGCTCGCACTGCAAAAGGCAGCGCACTGAGTTTCGGAGGAGCGATTCGAGAAGGGACTCGAAGCTTGAAACCCTCGATCAAAACTCGTGCTCGAAGCTTGAATGTGAGGTTTGAGGTTGAAGGCGTTCGAAATCCTGAATTAGCAGCTCCGTTTAGACCAACTTTTGGGCACTTTTGAAAAGCTAGATATTGGAGGAGTACGCATATGCTCAGGGTATTTTAGCACATTCAAAACTGAAGACTAACCTCACATGATTGCGTCAGCCAAGACAGCTAGCTCTGTAGACATTGCAGGCAAGGAAATCGAACCGTCTGCACGAAGATTGCAGATCCCTTCTAAAGCAAAACTTTTGAAAAGCAAACTGTATATGACAGCTGCCTACCTCATGAAGAACAAACCCTGCAAAGGGGCCTTGGCTGGTCAGCAGGTTGCTGGTTTCGTTAAGTCCATACCGCGGATCCTCGTCCTCTGACTCGGTGAAAAATCCGTTTGCGGCCAGCGCTCGCAGCAGGCGTTGTAGGAGGGAAGCCTCTTTTGCACCAACTCTTCGTGCAATTTCGGCTGTAGGCAGGGCGTTGATGTGGTTAGCAAAGTGGAAAGGTGTGTAAGCTTACAACCACTTGTGCGCAACCAGACTTTTCGATTGGTCTTCGAAGCACAAGCGGGTAATCTGTATAAGCCCACTTTCTGAGGAGCTAATCCGGGCACAGTGAGTCACACTGCCAACGCCAGTCACTTCTTGCCGTGCGTTATTCTGACTAGTTTGTAGCTGTCTGTCGAAACCTGTTGGCAAATAGGCCCTCTGCATTGAAAGGATATATTGGCAGGTTCTATGACATTCTAGTGCATCCTCGACAGGAATGATTCGCAGCATCCCATCTTGAGAAATAAAAGGTGGCTCAGGGCCCTGTTCGGCCGCTCACCGGCTGTTTGTGGCCCCCCAGCTGCAGCCAGCGCGTCAGGCACTCCCAGCGACACTGCCGTGTACAGGGCCTTTGGGCTCCAGTACTGAATTGTTGTGGAGATGATTTTGTTGACTGATTTCAGCAGAGTCGCCTGCGTTGGGCAGCACAGAAGGGTAGCTGATCACTGCCATCAGAGTTTTGGGTTCAAGGCAAAGAAATGGAATGATGTTTTTGATCTGAAGAAAAAGACGGTGAAAAAGTCTGGGCAATCGAGATCCGGATCTGATTTATGGAAACCGTCGTTTCCGATCACTGTCATGGAGAGTGGCTCTAGACTATAAGTAGTGCATTGCGGCTGGTGGATTTCTTCCAAGCTGGAAACCTGCACCAATTCCAGTGATGAGACGGAGTTTGCTCTATCCAGGGTTTAATCCAGTCCATTCCAAGATACATCAAGGTGGATTGGCGTGCTGCTTATATGAGCTTGTGAATGCTCACAAACGCCCACTCAAATGTGAGCCTTTCAGATTTGGTCGCTGGAACAGGCATTTGGCTTCTTTGAATTGGGCAACAAATATACATGTCACAATGAGGGCTGCAATACCGATAGCACTTAACAAGCACTTCCTTTCCATTGCAACTCCCTTCGATAAGCTCACCTCCTCTCTGTACTGGAGCCCACTACCGGCCAGGCCAGCCCATGAGCTGGAGCTGTCAATCTGAGCTGGACTTCCCGTTGCAGGGTGCAAGTTGCTTGTTTCTGTGGCTTGCATTTGATCTAACACACCATGTGGGGGCGCCATTCTCCTTACAAATCAATTGCATGGATTTGGTGTCACTTCAAGTCTGGCCGCCTGCAAAAGTTAGCGTCAGCACTAGGAGTGGGCTGAGATGCACCAAGGGTTTTCGATGATTCACAAGTCTTGGATAGTATCCTTTTGCAAGGATGATCAGCAGCTCCAGACAGCTACAGCAGGAAGATGAACTCTGTTGGAAGAGGGAAACTTAGTTTGGCTTCCGAAAGCAGATGCCCGGGCGCTTCGCCGTTAAATATGCTGCTTAGCAACACCCGTAGCTGTAGGTACCTACCTATTTGAGCTGTCAACAACAAATGGGTCGGGGGCCCGGGCCCCGGCCCCCGGATCCTGTTGCGATTGACGTGACGTGAGTGGCCCGTACAGGGCCGTACTAAGATCCTGCACAGTGCACAGTGCACAGTGCAGTCCCATGACGTCCACCTTGTACACAAAAGTACGGGCGAAGGACCGTTACGTTAAATGATGCCATGATGCGCGATTCAACTTCCAAGTAGGTACCTGGTACGGGCTCACGTAGCCGATCGGATCCCCGTCTAATGGGGATGCATCATGAATCATGATGCATCTTTCACGTCAAATTGTTGTGCCGTACAGCCGAAACGTATGGTCCAAAACGGAGCCAACAACGCGCCACAAGACGTCATGCCTCGTGTGCGTCATGGATCCCCCATGATGCAAACCGGTACGAACGCTTCGTCAGTCCGTACCTAATTCTACTTATAGGTAGGTACCTACATA